ACTTAGAATGGCAAAAAAGCTGGCGGCCCACCTGATGTAAAGTGGTAACAATCGCCTACAGACATGAGCAGTACCATGGATATAACAGAGTATACTGTTTCGCCCATGATACCCCTCATGCGTTGCCCTTCCTGAGGACTCAGGTGTTATTCCTCTGTACCCAGTAAATTCACGCCATATCCCACCCTTCAGACCGAAACACAGCCATGCAAACACAACTGCTTCACGGTTGAAACACGAATGAGACAGAGGTACCCAAGCAATCGACCTTTTGTACAAAGTCTCAATCTATTTTTTTATGAATTCGTTACGGTGGGTCAACTGACCTTTGTCTTCACCCTCACCTACAATCTAGATGGTAGGTGAAGATTAAGTGAGTACTCATAACGCAGACTGGGTTACTATTCCTTACCATCGGGGGGAAAGGGATTGTTAGTAATGGAGACTGAGAATCCCATTGCTAGCAATATACCCAAACAGGTCGACCTCCTCGCGGTTCCCCCTTAAAACTATCATGGTTAATTCCTGATGAATTCATCATGATGGGCTTACTGGCCTGTTTTCATTCTCATCTATCACCCTTCACTGGTGCTCCGCCAGCGTATCCCGTTAGCGCAGGCGGGGTTACCATACCATTTTCACTCATCAAAAATATCCCTTACCATCAAGTAATCTCATGATTGTGGTGGCGATAACATATCTATTGATAGATGCGTTTGCTATTCACCTAGAGGTGCAGTACAGCAATCGCTCCAGTTGCCCGTTGCTAATTGCGTGCTCCAGTAATTAATTCAACGGATACATCGCTCTCCACGCGAGGTGATCACGCGTCCATGTCTTACGAATCGATTGCGCAATTGTGTGAATGTGTATGAAAATGTATCGATACAAATTCAAGTTTGACATGGTTTCATGGTGCCATACATAATGTATTCGGCCATCTGATGTCGTAATCATTTTGTACCGAATAAAAACAAATTTAATAGCAGCATAATTAAGACGAGACCACCATGGAGGTGACTTCTTTTGATGGCAAGAACGGTCATCAAAATGGACGCAGAATTGTACAAATGTTGAGACGTTAATAAATAAAACCAGTATTTACGCATTAAAAGGGTGCAGAATTTATAAGACAAAATAAATATAGAAGTGATAAAAGGAATCACTCATAACTATTTATCACACAAAATTGTATGAAAAAGTTGAGCCGTTTTTCTCAAAGCATTTTTATGGAGACACTATCGGAATACAAAAAAAGCATAAATATATACGAGGTCTGTCCGGAAAGTTCGTATAAAAGTGTTCTGGAATGCGAGAAAATCAGTGGGGAGGCCAGGTAAGCACAGGACCCCTTCCTTATGTCCCTAACAATGCTTCAGTTCTGGTCTGACCGCCGTGCGGTGCGAACTGGCTTGTCAAACGAAACCCCGTCGGCATGGAGCCCGCTTCCGTTGAAGAGCAGCGCGTTTATCACACAAAATTGTATGAAAAAGTTGAGCCGTTTTTCTCAAAGCATTTTTATGGAGACACTATCGGAATAATCTGAGAAAAAAGCATCCCATACAGGTGATATAGATAACGCTCTCGTGCGAGGGGGAAAGGGATTGTTAGTAATGAGATTTAATAGCCTCATAGCCAGCAATACACCCTATCAGGTCGACCTTTACGCGGTTCCCCCTGGAAACCATAGTGGTGGGTCGTTTAGCGAAATTCGTCACGATGGGCCAACTGACCTGCCTTTTCATCCTCACCTATCATCCCTCACTGGTGCCCCGCTAGCGTATCCCGATAACGCAGGCGGGGTTACCATTACATTATTACCTATTACAAAAAAAACACTCGCGTGCGATCTACATTCAGTAGGTATATACGTAAGTGGCAGTACAAATTATTTGTATTGCAAAGTTATGTTTACATGGCTTACATACACGCCGTGTTATCGCTCACAATAAAGTATTACGCGCCGTGAAGCGTTGATAATATGGGATTTGCGAAATTGTACCGAAACTGGGCTGTTACTTGTGATTTTGTATGAGGTGCTAGGTGCTCTGATCAGAAATAAATATTGACGTAACGCTATTGAAGTGAATTGAACTGTACGTATCGGTTTCAGAGTGAGAGAGTGTTGCCATATTTTGTATCTTACTAATGATCTGGCCCGGATTCGTATTGGTACATGGAATTTTCGAAAATTATATTTGAAATATGTTACTGGCTGATTGCTAATGTAGTTTTCTATAGATGAAAGATTTGTTTGAAATCGGTTGAGTAGTTTTTTTAGTTCATCCATTACAAACAAAAAAATATTTCCTCTTTGTTACATTAATAGATGAACAGTACCTGATTTATATTTTTCAAAAGTTTTGCCATTTGTCTTGGAAGGAAGGTTAAATGCAGTCACTTGTATCTGGTATCTAATTAATTACCTCTTATGAAAACTAAAATCTTGTACAAAGATTTTAATCATTAGATATTAAAGTCACTTTCTTTCAAATTAAGAAATTAGCGCAAAAAAGAGAACATTTCAATAGCTGAAATAAGTTTATGAGACGTTTGAATTTATTGTGAATAAAAAGTTATTTTACATAAGGTTTTTTTTTAATAGATGATAATAGTATGGTTACTCGTCTGCGCTAATGATATACACCGGCGGAGTACTAGTGAGGAATGATGAAGCACCCCAGTCGACCCATCGTGATGAATACACCAGGAATTTAGCATGATGGTTTCTTTAGGAGGGACCACGTGGAAGTTGACTTGTTAGGGGGTACATTGCTAGTAATGGGAGTGATAGTCCGAATTACTAACAATTCCTTAAGGTAGTGTCATTCAATCATCAATCATCTAGTCCAGAACTTTTTTTTTAACGTCTGGAAAATACTTTATGCAGACCCATATACCTTGTGCGAGGTGATTGGGTACTGTGGGAATCCCCTCGTAAGACGAGGGTGTACCCACCAAAAACCAGACGATGCACCCTCGAGGTGCCATATGTCGGAGACATGGGTTCGATTTCACATTCACCACATCTCCGAATCTAGTCCATAACCTGTACCCTGTGTTATGAGGAACAACGTGACAAATATCTGGAAGCAGAACACAGAACACCCGACCATCACGTGTTGTAGGAGCTCTATGCCTGACATTAAATTCACGCATAGCTCAGTGCGTAGAGCACTTTTCTCCCTCGAAATCCATAAGTCGAGTGGGCCCGATGGTATTCCTCCAATTGTGCTTAGGACGTGCGCACCAGAGTTGGCTCCGGTTCTTACGCGTCTTTTTCGGCTTAGCTACTCATCGGGCATAGTCCCAAAGTTTTGGAAGACTGCTCTGGTGCATCCGATCCCTAAAAAGGGAGATCGCTCAGATCCAGCTAACTATAGGCCCATAGCTATCACTTCCTTATTCTCGAAGGTTATGGAATCCATCATTAACCGTCAACTGCTCCGGTACCTAGAAGAGCACCAGCTGATCTGTGATCGCCAGTACGGCTTTCGACAGGGACGTTCGGCTGGTGATCTTTTAGCTTACTTAACACACCGATGGGCAGTGGCAATCGAGAGTAAGGGAGAGGCCTTAGCAGTTAGTCTGGATATCGCGAAGGCCTTCGATCGGGTGTGGCATAGAGCGCTGCTTTCAAAGCTACCTTCATTTGGGTTGCCTGCGAGACTGTGCATTTGGGTCGCCAGTTTTCTCAAGGAACGTAGCATTAAGGTCGTAGTCGACGGAGCATGCTCTGATTTAAAACCTTTGAATGCTGGTGTCCCGCAAGGCTGTGTACTATCTCCGACTCTGTTTCTTCTGCATATCAATGATATGTTACAGATAAGTAATATTCATTGCTATGCAGACGACAGTACAGGAGATACATTATATACCGGTCATGCAAAGATCTCGCGGGCACATACCGATGAGTGCCGGAATAGACTTGTGTCTGAAATCGAAACTTCACTCCATCAAGTTTCGATCTGGGGTGAACAAAATCTTGTCCAATTTAACCCCAAAAAGACACAAGTCTGCGCGTTTACCGCAAAAAAGACGCCGTTTGTCGTATCTCCTCACTTTCAGGGCACTTCCCTTGATAAAAAGTCGAGTCTAGGAATTCTGGGCGTTGATATATCTTGCGACGTCCAGTTTTGCGGTCATCTGGAGGAGAAGGCTAAGATAGCTTCCAAAAAGTTAGGAGTACTCAATAGGGTGAGACGATATTTCATGCCAGAACACCGCCTGAAATTATATAAAGCCCAAGTCAGGCCGCATATGGAATACTGTTCTCACCTGTGGGCAGGAGCGCCACAGTACCAACTCCTTCCGTTAGACCGCATTCAAAGTCGGGCGGCTCGAATTATCGATAGTCAACGCCTTACTGTCCGACTCGACCCACTGAAACTGCGCAGAGATGTTGCGTCTCTGTGCATCTTCTACCGAATTTATCATGGGGAGTGTTCTGAGGAATTGTTCGGATTGATACCTGCTGCTGATTTTCACCACCGTACAACCCGCCACAAACTAAAGTTTCATCCCAATCATCTGGACGAGTGGCGGTCTTCCACCGTGCGTTTTTCAAGGCACTTTCTTCCACGCACAACCATTCTTTGGAATCAACTTCCAGCAGCAGTATTTCCGAACCGATACGACAACATAACCTTCAAGAAAAGAGTATATTCCTTTTTAAAAGGCCGGCAGCACACCTGCAATGCCGCTGGTGTTGTGGGTGATCATGGGCGGCGGTAGTCACTTACCATCAGGTGAGCCGCATGCTCGTTTGCCCCCTGTGTTGTAAAAAAAAAAAAAAAAAAAAAAAACTTATTTTAGACAATAACGCTTTTTATTCATAATTGTTCAGTCCAGGAATCGATCCCGAAGCTGTAATTATACAAAGCAACAGGTTACTGTCGTCAAAATGACTAAAAATAGGCTTATTTTTATACGATGATCCTATTGATGATGATAATAATGGGAAAGATATGAAATATTTATCATTATCTTCTTGTCCTCAGCTCTGCCAATGCGAAGAAGTGGGAAGTGGAATTAGCTACCTTGAAAAGCAACAACCTTCGGCTAACCGCCGCTCTCCAGGAGAGCACCGCTAACGTAGACGAGTGGAAGAGACAGCTACACCAGTACAGGGAGGAGGTGGCACGCGCCAGGCATTACGCGGGGAAAGGTTGGTCGCTTTTTGAATTGACGAAAATGGAGTTGTAACCCAGCCATATCATTGACCACTGACTAGATGATAAGTGAGCATGAAGTCAGGTCAGTTAGCCCATTGTGATGAATTCACTATAAATTAATCATTATAGGAAAGATCTTTTGTCAATGGGTGGTAATGGAATAGTAACCCCGTTTGCATTGTCTGTGGCGTCTGTAAATTAATATTGTAAATATTCATCTCATAGCCATTTATCAACATCATTACTTTCTTCTCCATCAAGTAGGTTAATTTAATTGTACATAGATGTTTCACCTCTTTCTATCTTTCGCACTGGACATACAGACATGACAGCGACGTTTACTTCTCACATTCATTTCTGCTGTCATTCTCTCATTATATGAAAATCAATAATATAATCAAGTTGGTTGTTACTTATTTCGTCCAAACAACTACATGTCTACGCTAGCAGGGTACCAGTGTGGAATAATATGAATATGAACTCAGGTAAGTTTTGTTTTATAACACAGGGGCAAACGAGCATGCGGCTCACTTGATGGACTACTGCTAGTCATGACTTTATATTAGTTGGTTTTTAGTGACGAATTCACCAGGAGAATTCTTAGTTTTTGAATTCATCTGTGTACCATCATCATATCAGCCTTTAACTGCCCACTGCTGAACATAAGTCTCCCCCTTGGTGGGTTTTGCCAATGGTTGCGACGCTTGGGAGGCGGATTGGCAACCGCAGTTAGACTTTAGAGATGTTTTAAGAGGGACGCTGCTGCCCAACCCTCGCTCTCTTTTAGTTGGTTCTTACGACACCCACGGGATAGGAAGTGCTGGCCTATTCTATGCCGTGGTCACATGGCCAATATAAATGTTTACTATATAAATGTATTGTTTCAATTTTACAGGTGGCGATGCCAACGAGGTGGAACAACTGCGGCAGCGCGTGGCGCAACTAGAGGCCGAGCTGGCACAGAAGAATGAAGAGTTGGCGCAGATCACGAAATCTAGAAAGAGCGAACAGGTCAGTGCTTCTGATGCAGTTATGAATGCCTTGAATGCCTTTCGATAACAATGGTCAGCACGTTGCTTTGTGTGATTCAGGCCTCAGGTTCGATTACCGGTCGGCCCAATATAGGAAACGGAGTTTTCTGAACTGACTCGGGTCTAGATGGTGTGAACCTCCAGATGTTTGTCGCCTAGTTCCTAATACAGGTGTTCCTAGCTTGAGGACCAGGCGATTAGTGTGATTCAGTCATTATTATTACTTTTATTTTCTATCTTCTTATGGAGGGAGAGAGCGAGCGAGACAGAGAAAGAGAGGGAGAGACCGAAACTATATCAATTCTTCTGAGTGTGTTTTCTTGGATTGTATAAATTTTCTGTTCCCCTGGTGTTTCTAACATCAAAAATTTTCTTTTCTTGAATGGTTGGTGCGTCTTAGTTGAAAAGATGGAATGTAACCAGCCTATGTTAATTTTTGCTCACATTTCGATCGCATGATTTCATATATTTTAAACGGTACATTTTCTGTTGTAGGACGCCGAGGCGAAGCTAGCGCAAAGCCAGCTGGAACTAGCGCTCGCCGCTCAAGACGGCCAGCGGCAGGTCATACAGGCGCTGAATGACCAGCTCGCTCGGCAGCTTGATGAACTGGTCAGTTTATATTGTATTTTTAATATATGTATTTTTAGAAATATATAAATAATATTAGACGACAGCGGAATCTAGTACCGAACTAATCAGAGCTTATACTATGGGTAATAGACAATGGATAGACTTTTTTATATACCACTGAGGTGGTAAACAAGCATACGGCTCACCTGATGGTAAGCGGTTACCGTAGCCTTTGAACGCATGCAATACCAGAGGTATTACGCGCGCGTTGCCGACCCTGAAGAAACCTCTTTACCCCCTATTTGAAGAATCCCATGCTGTAGTCAGATATAACTTATTCGTGTACTAAATTTTATTGAAATCCGTTTAATTTCTGCTACATAAGTCACATTTGTATGTTTGTTACACACGAATATGTAAACAGCCTAATAATTTTTACTAACATTATTATGCATTCACTGTTTGCGTATAAATGGCGCCGTGTGATTACGAAAGCCGAACCCGCGTAACGGGAAGAGGCGAGGGGAAAGAAGTTTGTGTATAAATAACAACAATATGGGGCATAGTATGTAAGCATTTTGAATAATATAATATTATAGTAAATATATAATCATTATGCTAAAAATTAATATTATTATAGTATTATGTATTAATTTCCCATTGAAATGAAAATGCAACAACTCCTGCACGCAGACAACGATCCACCGCGAGATAAACACAGCGCTGCAAACATGAGACGCGGCTCAAGCAGCGCCCCCGCCGCCACCCATCTACGCCTCCGTACACAAGGACCGCCGCGCGCTGCCGCTGCTGCTGCACCACGCCGCGCACGCCGCGCACGCCGCGCACGCCACGCACGCCGCCCACGCAGCCCACGCAGCCCACGCAGCCCACGCAGCCCACGCCGCCCACGCAGCGCACCCGGCGCAGCGCCCGCAGCGGCCCGACGGCGAGGAGCCCACATACGTCACCGTGAAGGCGAAGAAATGAAGAGTGCTCTCGGTATTTCGCAAGGTGCACGAATTTTTCTAATTTCATTCATTCCCATTTCTTCATTTCGTACCGGAGTCGGCGATTTAGTGTTGTCGCACGTGCGATTTGTGCGGGCGAGGCAATTTGTCAACTTTGTCGCGTAGCGATCCCTCGATGTCTACGCAACGTATACTTCGTATATGCGTAGTGAACTTGTTGCATTTATCCATTGCATTCACCATATATAATCTACATCCCTATTATCTAACATGGCGTCCAAATTATGATGTCGCAGATTTACAAGTAACTTGAGTAATCGCCTCGGTACAAACACGTTCGCAAATCGCCACAGTGTTAGGCTGTCGTTGATTTTGAACGACGCTGTTTACAATCCACAGTGTCCAAGTGTTCCTAGCTTATAGTATTGGGTGCTATATTGGTTGTAAGTGGGTGGCCCGCGGTGTTCTTTCAAAATAAACCCGGGAATATACTATCCAACGCATCCGTCAGTTGTGGCTGATAACTGAACAGTGTGCGCGGTCGTTTTGCTGTTTCTCTCTTACTTTAGACGGTGTGTATATGTGTGAGCGAAACAGCCAGCGCGCCAGATCGTTGTCGGACGTCCTACTATTTAAGGACTAGTGGTGGGTAATATACTCGTATAGTAATATCTATATATTTTAGTTACAATACCTATATACTGGACCGATATAATAACGAATATATTAAAAGTCTGTTATCCAAAATATAATAAAAATTGGATAATAGACTTAATATATTCGATAAATAGATATCCTACCGATATGGGCAATATCGGAGTAGGTGATGAACCCAATTTATAGATATCAGATATCTCAATATATAGGTATCCATATTACCCATGCCTATTCAGGACGGGCCAAGGTCACATTTGCGACAACCGCTAGTTTATGCAGTTTAATATAAATGTAGTTCAGTCCGCATCTATAAGCCGCAACTGATGGATGTGCCCGATAGTATGTTCCCATCCTATAGAGTCGAGTGTACGTACAGTGAGATCTACATGGCGACACAGTCTAAAGAATCCTACCAGTTGTTCAACGGATACGTCTAGACACAACAATGCGTTCCGAATAGTCACGTAATCGTTCGGAACATGTCAAAGAAGGCCACTGATTGTTTTTTTTAGACTGTATATACTTTCGTCTCTTTAACTCGTACAATGTTCTCGTTGAGCCATTGCACTTAAATGCACAAGAGTAACAAGGACAGAAGATGTATCTATCTCAATCGCCGGCTCCTCTCAAATGTTCGAAGTTGAATCACGCCAACATTAGCTGCAATTATATTTTAATAGCTAAATTGTATTGTTTCCATTCAATCGTCTGTCATCGCAAAATGTTACTTATCTCCCATTCATACGGCCCATATTTTATCGCGCGTCCATACGTGATAGATGTAATTAAAAGTTCAATGTATGTCTATATCTATCTCTGTCACTCAATGTACTGTTGCTACGAGTGATAGAGATAGATAATACGTTCGACTTTCATCTAATGTTTTATCTCTTTCTACTAGTACCGGACTCGCGGTAAATAACACTTATGTGTGTATTCTCGCATTACGACACGTGTTTATACATATTTTTGGAGCAACGCTCGTGTTTTTTTTATACACTATTGATTTTTAGGTTCCATACTCTTTTAATTTATTGTGGACATTTTTTTTAACCGGATATTATTTCGGATAAGTACGGTGTTAACCTCACAGCGTCTCGAATAAATTAAAATAATCACATATCGATTATAATAAGTCGTAGTCGGTCTTCAAGGTTCACATTGATGACATCAGCAGTTAACTGTCCACTGCCGAATGGAGGTTTTTCTCATAATTTCTTAGTTTTGCTAGCAGTTGCCACTTTTGGCAGGCGAGTTGACAATCACAGTTATGCTTTGATGATATTTTAAAAGAGATGCTGCTGCCCTCCACCTGGCCAGTTAAGTTCCCTTAGTCGCCTCTTACGACACCCACGGGAAATAAAGGGGTGGCCTATTCTATACTGGGACTACACGATCTAAGATACGCATTTCTGTCGTCCGATTGGTAAACCACATCAAGAATATCCTCCAATCAAACTGTTTATAATTACTCCTCTCCATCCAATGGTTGGCTGGAAGAGATCGCTCTTAGCGATAAGGTCGCCCATTGTTTTCTCATTGTGATTATTTCTTGTAATTGTTTGTATCTATAATAAGTTTACTATTGTAATCTTTTGGAGGAAACAATAAAGAGTATCTATCTATCTATCTATAATATCAATTTTGTTTGTTACTCGGTTTGTTAAATACGCAATTTGTAATATGAGAATACACAAGTATCGTTACACTGCACATGCAACCGATTCATTTCTAGTAATAACTCGTAATAAAGTTTATAGCCACCTTTATAAATGCAAGCAAATAACGACCTTAATGTAATAATAATAAAATCATTTATTCAGCCACAAAACATAACAATAATAATGATAATTGTATACGTTAATAGTTTTGTGGTATACATACATACATATCTGTCACGCCTCTCTCCCATTAGGGTAGGCAGAAACAATGGAACGCCAAATGCTACGATTCAAACAGACCTCTTTCGCTTCCTCCACATTCATCAATCTTTTCATACACGCTCGCCGGTTACGGGTACTTTTAATTTGGCCCATCTTCAGCACGTCGCCTATTTGGTCGACATACGTCCGTCTAGAGCGGCCCCTACCGACATCTTCATTCATTCTTGCTCGATAAATCTCTTTCGTAATTCTTCTTTCATCCATCCTCTCCAAATGACCAAACCAAACCAACGCAACATTCCTTTTTCGATTTTTAGTTTTGTGGTAGCAGTTTGAAATTGAAAACCTCGGCAGGGAGCTCATTCCACAACCTGAGTGTTCGTGGGAGGAAACATCTCTGAAACCGCGCAGTACGCGACTATTGAAACTGTAGAACATGAGGATGAACTCCCTGTCGATGGCGAGCCGTACGATGGTAGAAAGTGGCTGTGGGCATCATATTGAACAATCCCTTTGAGCACAATCCATTGTACAGGCGGTAGAACAATTGTATCCCATTATTAAATTTATTAAGATTAAACAGCTATAGCAGGACTGGTTAGTGTTGCGTTTCCGTTGAGTGTGCAGTGTAAACGCATATTTATAATATAAATTGAAATTACTACAGTTCATTAAGTATATACACGATTTATATACGACCTGTGAAATGACTTACAATGTTTTCGCGCGGCTGTCAAAATCGTGGCCGTTAATGTGTTTGAAAATGAACTGTCCATTCAAATGTGACCCTTATGTGTGTCATGTTAGGGTACAGAATAAGTAAACTTGCATAATAATACATATTGTTAGGAATGCGAGCGTGGGCGGATGTGTTCGTGTCAATTCGCGTCATTGTCGACTCACCCTAAGGGCCGTGTCACACTGAAATGGTTGCGCGATTTTTTAAATTTAAAATTTGTATTGTCGTACGCTATTATTTGATGGAAAGTAATCGAGAACTATTGCTAAAGCTAATAATACTGATTTGCAATTAGTAAAGCGGGTGAGAATGATTGTTAAAACTCAATATAGGGAAAATGAGGAGCTGCAATGTTCGCTGTAGCAGTATTATGTACTCTACAAGCAAAACGGAAAGTGAAAATCGAATTTATTGTAGACAGCTTTGACGATTACTATGGATTATAGCTAATTGTGGAGCCATGTTGCTACTATTATGTGGCGTTACGCTATTCAATTATATAGCATCACATTTATTTTATATTTAAATATATACCAGAAACAAAATTTGATTTCTCTAGAGCAGTGTTTCCCAACCTGTTGTGTGCCATGACCCACTTGAACATTACTAAAATTTCTTTCTCCCATACATAATTTTTTCCGACAAAGTTTACTGGACGACTTTTATTACCCAGTTGATATTTTGGTAACGTCAAGCGAAATTATACTTAATAATAATTTACAGCAATTTTTGTTACATTTGGCACCGATATCTACTCGTAGCATTGCATTTAAATGGCCCGGAGTAAGAAGGTTAAAATCGTTTAGAGTCCATTTACCCCCCCCCCCCCCCCCCCTTTAACTATCAAATTACCCCCCCCCCCCTTTAACTATCAAATTACCCCCCTATGGGGCGTGGGCCCCCACGTTGGGAAACACCGCTCTAGAATCTAGAATATTTTTATACTGTACAATATAATGTATAACATGATTTTTATTTTGATGAAAATATATTATGGGATTGAATTGATCCTATATTGTCTAATTATACCTCCTTCTCTCACCTTTAATATTTATATAAATTGTTATAAAATTGTATAACCATTGCCTACTTTGATAGTTGTTCCTACCCATTACGATATTTGTCAAAAATTATTCTTACTTGGCAGAGAAACAGGTCGTATCCTCAATTTACAAGTTTTTATGCCGATCGGTCGTGCAAACTCGCGATATTGAAGCGAAGTTAAATGTCGCCGCTACTATTTTAGTGTGAAAGGACCCGAAATTTTTATGTAAATATCCTAGGGCATTCGGCGCCGGTTTGCTAACTGTATAAGTAAAATTTTGGACAGTGCCGATTTTAAGATCTCATCTATCAGTCGAGCGAACCGGTCGTATGCACCTAGTCGTGCCACCACGATGACATGCCAAAAATTCTATTAATTAATTATAATTTAATGTAGATTTTTGATAAATATAAGCGTATAAGCTGGCTGCACGGTGAAATACCGAATTGAAAAAAAAAATCTAAGAAAAAAAAACTTTGTTTAACAAAAAAAAAAAAAACCTTCGCCTGAAATATTGGCAGACTGTGCCATTTCGTAGTGTGTGTATATTGGATTAATTCCCATGTTTATATTTAAAACAAAAAAAAAAAAAATTTAAAAAACGGGTCATTGCACCCCTGTCCCTTTCGACTTGTACACTTCAGGCCCATCGAAAGTATAAATAATGGAAGGGAATAAATAAAATATAAAATTAATGCTTTGGTATAACTTGTTCTTTTGAAAGCGTTGCGTAATAATAAAATATTGCATAGTTGTAAGTGATTTTACATAATGTTATTGTAATTATTATTATTAAAATGAATTTTTACTATTCTCAGCGATTCCTCCACTCCGTACTAGATTTTCTTTCTTTTTGTTTTTTTTCACTCTAGTAAAATTGTAGTAAAAATATCATAATTAAGATATTATAATTTGATTTCCATTTCCTACTGTGTAGGCGTATCTCTATATACTCTCCTCTATTTATAAGAAAATCAACTCTTTTTAATTTCTTAATTATTAATGTATTATGTAAAAAAAAAATCCCTAGTCTTAAGAGTGATAAAAGGAGTAACCACAATTTCCGTCTACTAATACTCGAGACCGAAACAGAGGTCTCTTTTTTTTTTCTTTTGCCTTATTTTTCTCTTTTTTCTTTTGAAGACCCTGTATTTCATAGAACCCTTAGCAAATTAGTGTTTACTATTTGTGAAGCGATAGTCATCTGCATATGGTACCTAATTAATGAGATTATGACGTTTGTAAATTATATTATTTTACGTTTATAAAAATAATTAATCAGTATTGAATGGAGAGACTGCATTTTATTTATTTATAATTTATTGATATTTTTTATTTCCTCTACCATCGAATCTCTGCGGATCTCTATCGCCCGTCACAAAAATAAAAAAAAAATAAAAACTAAATTAAAAACAAAAGATATCATTGTAAAAGGCTGAGGACACAATTTTTAAGATATACAATGTCTTCTAAACAGGGTAATTTCATTTACTGTTGTGTATTTTTGAATAGTGACGTTGTTATTCGATTTTTACTCTTGTCTACTGTGTAACAAGTACATTTTTCGTAGTTGCAACAGATTGGTCGGCGCGACCAATAAAATAATACAGGCGTTCTACAAATGCCTTCCCAAATGTGAATTGATAAGGGCGTTAAAATGTTCATCACTCGTATGTAATTAGTAGATTTATGTATAAAATAAAACGATTATTGTAATCAGATATTCGTAACTAGATGCAAATTTACTATTTTTACTTTCCGCTGTTCTTCATAATTTGACATATTTAATTTATTTAGCAAAGTGAATATAGTATAGTGATGAGAATTAATGTTTTTATAGTGTTCCAATTATTTATTTGTAAAATTGTTTATCACAATATATATATATAAAATTAAGTAGGAACCGAATGATCTGTTGGTATTTCAGAAGTGTAATATAGATTAGGCATTATAGTTTAAGTGTTAATTCCTATATTATTTGTAAACGGATGCTGTTATGTGTGATTACAATATATATATATATATATATATATATATATTTATATATATATACGTATATGTATATGTATAGAGGCATTCTATTCGTATAAATGATTTGGATGCGTTTGGAATGATATTTTTATTTTGATAAAAATAATGAATTGATATAATGAGTGTAACCAACAAATTTGGCCCGGCGTGTACCGCCCACCGACTTTGCATAATGGAGTGCCAATGTTTACCATTAACTACCCACTGTTCGGGCCACCGTTGTTAGGTTCGTACTCTCGATAAGGTTTATTGTAATCGCATTATAGGATATAATTCAATATATATATATATATAATGTAGTAGTCTGCGTTGCATTTGTTAATAATAATAATAATGGAAATATTTATTTAATTGTTTAAATTCTTATAGGGCCGTATAAGGCCAAATGCACCCCGCACACGGTCATATAAAATATATCATATTGTATAGCCCTAGTACTAAATATAATAATATATAAGGGGTATCACAGTGTATTCCGTGACGTCCATGGTGCTCATGGTGTTCGGTACAGTTCATGTTTATAGGCGACGGTTATCTCTTTTCAAAATGTGGACCGTTGACTTGTTTGCCATTATTAGTTTCGTAACAAAAAAATACTGAGATGGGGTTAAAAATAAGATGGGATTCGAACCCGCATCTTTTGGCTGTTTGGCAAAAGTATTCTCATTTACATCACAGAAGGAATAGGTATACTATAAGTCGGTAAAATTCTCAGCATCTCTTGAATATTAGTAAATACAACATAGCGCCATCTATCGTGTAATAACATCATCGAATAGTGGCATCCTATATTTAGAATTACGTAATATTAAAAGATAGACATATTTTTATTGAAATAAACTTAAATCGTAGCATTTTTGTATAGTAGTTTTTTTATTAATCTACCGCCAATTCGAAATGCAATTTTGGCTGAGAAGAACAGGCGAGATACTCGAATGTTGCTAGATGGTTCGAGAAATACGCTTAGTAGGCGGGTTGGCGAATGCAGATAGGCCTTGAGGGACGCTGCTGCCTATCCCTTGAGCATTGAATTAAACAAGCATATTTTATTAATAGCAATTAATGATATATTATCAATAATGAAAAATTTTGCATTTCTTTCTATTTTTATCAAGTACATAGTCCACTTGAAATTAAAAAGAAATAATTTCATAAGAAAATGAAGACCAATGTCGAAATATAAGTCAATTTTCGTATTAGGAAACTGCATTTTGAGTTATCGTAAAAAACGTGACAGTATTACACGTGCGTGGCATTTAGTTGTTTTTTCCCCTATTGTATTTGTAATTTTAACTCTTTCACAATAAATACCAACATTCTGCTGATATAACTAGCCCATATTTGTATGCAATAAAGGCGCCAAATTGAAAGGAATTCTAAAAATCATTGGTTTGTTTTCTTTTTTTTTATTTTACCAACTAAATTTTTTTTATATCTTAACTATCTGACTAGACAAACGTTTTGTTCCGTACTGCTATCCTTTTTTTTTATGGGACTTAGAATGGCAAACAAGCTGACGGCCCACCTGATGGAAAGTGGTAACCGTCGCCTATAGACATGAGCAGTACCATGGACATAAGAGAGCATACTGTTTCGCCCATGATACTCTCCATGCGTTGTCATTCCTGGGAACTCAGGTGTTATTCCTCTGTACCCTGTAAATTTACTACCATATCTCACCCTTCAAACCGAAACACAGCCGTGCAAACACAACTGCTTCACGGTTGAAACACGAATGGGATAGAGGTACCCAAGCAAACGACTTATACAAAGTCTCCCTCTGGTAAATAGATTCTATCCTATCAGGGATTATTATCGATTTTTATTTATTTACTAGTTGACCCGGGAAACGTTTTGCCATATAAATTATTTCTAGGGAATTTTTTTATACCCCTAAGTGATAAGGGTGAGCTGTGACTCACCCTTATCACTTAGGGGTATAAAAAATAGATAACAACCTATTTTTAGACCTACCTAGTATACATATAAAATTTCATTAAAATCGGTTAAGCCGTATCGGAGAAGTATACAACTAACACTGTGACATGATCACTTTACATTTTTTTTTCACGAATATGTCCTTTAACCTTGCCTCAGCATGTCTCATTGATATTTTCCTTTTAACATGTAACCTTAAGTAAGGTAATTCTTAAATTTGTCTCGTTCTTGTTTGAAAATTGTCACATTATTGTACACCGCTCTATCCGCTGACATTGATGCTTCTTTCCACTTTGGGTGTCGCTGGAGGAGAACTCTTGCAGAATTGAGCTCGCCTTTGTACATTTGTTTACTTCTGTCGTATTTTTTATGTATTATTACTGTGAACAATAAAGTAAATAAATAAATATTTTATAGATGGCCCCTTTATGTTGACATTAAAAAATTATGTACTTTTATATGTTTATCACATACTAACTGAGGTAAGACTAACTAAAACATCGTCTGTGGTGTTTATTTTTAAAACTTTGCTGAGCGGTGACGAGTAAACTCGTCGTTGCACTAGCGTGTAGAACGTTCTACCACTACAGGCAACACCGTTTGGATTACAAAGCGTTCATGACCAAAAAATTACTTTTCTTTCTATTTAGATTTTTATCACAATTTTAGCTTCATTCCAAAGATTTCAACCATGACGGAATTCACGGTCAGCGAAGTGTTAATAGAAATGGTAAATTATTTTATGTAGTAGAGAGTAGAGCTTTGTAGGTTGATTCGAAGGAACTTCGAAGAACTTAAAACTTATAGAGCATTAATGGTATAATGATGTAAATGGAGGTATCGATATATCTATGTACAGGTGTTTACGGTAGCCGACGGTAGCCGTCTCCCGTCAGGTGGACCGTCTGCTCGTTTGCCTCACTATAAAAAAAATTACCAATCGATTTTAGTAATCGATACGATGTCACAGTAAAAACAAATGCAGCGTAGACTACGCCGATTGTAATATCTTCCATTAGTTGTAGTCGCTGTGAGCTACCATGCATAATAAATATAAATATGGATACAAGAAACAGTTTCATTTGTAACCTCATCCATCTATCCATCCATCCTTTATATCCTGGTCCTACCTTGATATGCTCTAAATAGTACATAAGTTTTATTAGATGACTTCATAATTTCAGGCGTTAATTGTTCACTGCTAAACGCAGGCCTTCATAGGGAGTTTTGCCAGTAGTTGCCACGCTTGGCAGACGGGTTGGCAACCGCAGTTAGGCTTAATGTTTTAAGAGACTTGACTATTAAGTTACCTTACTCGCCTATTACGACACCCACGAGAAAGGGGTTTTTATTTAATGAATGATAATGGAATGGTAACCCCCCCTGTGCTAACGGTATACGCTGGCTGGGTACCAGTGAGGGATAGGTGAGAATGAAAAGGCAGGTCAGTTAGCCCATCGTGATGAATATACCTGGAATTCAGCACGATAGTTTCCAGGGCGAGAGGACCATGTGGAGGTCGACATGACAGGGTATATTGCTAGCAATTGGAGTGGTAGTCTGCATTACTAACAGTCCCTTCCCCCCTGGCAGGCTGGGTTAACAATAGCAGTTAGGCTTTGATAATGTTTTAAGAGACTCGATCATTAAGTTTCATTAGTGGCCTCTTACGACACCTACGGGAAAGGATAGGGTGGCCTTTCCTTTCCCGTAGGTGTCATTCTATGTCCAGACTTCACTGGAAAGTTTTTTTTATACAACTTAGAATGGCAAACAAGCTGACGGCCCACCTGATGGAAAGTGGTAACTGTCGCCTATAGACATGAGCAGTACCATAGTACCATAGCAGTAATAGGTAACATATTACTTTACAAATAATAAAATTCCCAAATAATGACAGGTAAGTAATGGCAGTTGCTTGGTGACAGGAACATGAGTTGGACAGTGGCATCCAAGCACACGACTTCTGTACAGTCTCTAGCAAAATCTGTGAAGAAAACCGTATGATGAATGGGGCTTTAGAATCGATCCCACTATATGCTCACTCGTACGCGCTTGTGAGCTCGCTGGCATTGACTGGACCCATTCAGTTATTGAACATAACAGTTATGTATGTCACATCCGGTGATTTAATTGATTTATTATCTAGATCTAGGTATTTTATTTAGGTATCTAAAATTGACGACGTTTTCTTAGAGAATAAGCAAAGGGTCACCTAAAAGTAGGTGGTTACCATAGTCTGTAAATGTACGTATCTACATAAATGTTACGAGAAAGAGACCCCTTTTTTCAACCGACTTTAAAAAGATGGAGTTCGGTTGTATTTTTTTTATCTTTATTTCTTCATAACTCCGTCAGTTGTAAACCAATTATGGTTTTAGTTAAATACTTTTTACTAAATATACACAGATACACTTTTTTTTATTCAACTTAGAATGGCAAACAAGGTGACGGCCCACCTCATGGAAAGTGGTAACCGTCGCCTATAGACATGAGCAGTACCATACACATAACAGAGTATACTGTTTCGCCCATGATACCCCCATGCGTTGTCATTCCTGAGGACACAGGTGTTATTCCTCTGTACCCAGTAAATTCACGCCATATCCCACCCTTCAAACCGAAACACAGCCATGCAAACACAACTGTTTCGCGGTAGAAACACGAATGGGTAAGATGTACCCAAGCAAAAGTCTTTGTACAAAGTTTCCCTCTGGTAAATTGTGGTAATACTTGTTATTTTAATTTAAAAACTAAGCTACTGAACGGAATTTGGTAAATATGTGTAAGTATATTCTTTCGGATGAGAAAGAAATTTCAAATCATTTTATAACTAACGGAGTTATGAGTAACGAATACAAAACAATATCGAATTGAGGATTCCCCTTTTTGAAGTCGGTTGAAATGAACTTTGAGAATGCTTGACTACCAACCTCGCAAATTTTAGTTTAGTTAGACCGGTTTCAGCGTGTTCGTATCAAGTAAAAATAACTTGAAAAAAAAAAGATTTAAAAAACAAAAACTCAAATTGAAAATGTTTGGAAAAGTTAATGCTTACTGCAACATTGTCTGTTTATACTTCGGTATACGTAGAAACTAAAAATCCACTAGCTTTTACGAGGAGGTAATTTTTTTTACCAGAATTTTTAGGTTTTATACAAAGACTCAAACACACACACCTATAATAATGGCTGGTGTACAATGGCGGTGCATCGATGATGAATGATCGAGAAAATGAAACGATGAAGTCAAAAGTAAGCTAGTTGACAAAAAACAGAGGCGAGTTCACAAGAAATTAACCACGATAATTTCCAAAGAGTACCAATGGAGGTAACTTAAACTTAACGAAATATACCTAATAAATTCTTTTTAGTAAGTAACCTGGACTAGTAAGTGACCAGGTAAGTACTTACCAAGAAATAAACCAGGGAAATTTATACAAATATTTTAATCACGTGCACGAAGGAGATCGGCATCGACTGGGAAGTTTCATCGAAATTTTCTATATTTAGAAAGTCAGGATGTGTGTATTTGCCTCAGGTATTTTGTACCTACCTTATTTACCACGAATATTTGGTGGCTACCTATATTTTGTACATATTCTGCTTTATCTTCATTATAGAAATATCTGCAGATTGGATCAAGTACTTACTCCTATTTAATAACGAAACAGATAGCATTTTTTTATAAACAATATGTGGATAAGTAATCTAAAAATAGCTGACAACGATATTTGGTAGGCCACTTTTCCATAAAAGCCATTTTCGCCACAACCCCATCGATTTCTCAAAGCGCATGTCCCATTTCCCGCCATTTCGGATTCGGCAGTACCGCGCGACTGTACACGCGGGCGGACGTCGCTCGCGACCGTCAATGCACATACAGCCAAATAATTACACAAATAATGAATAAAAAAATATAGTGACACAGAGGAGATTGAATAAAATCTTATTAATTAACATTACAAAAGTATTTATTCTGTTTTCAGTCGCCGGATACTACATACAATTGTGTGGATTCTCTTGTTTTTGGGTGCGTTTTTCTTGTTATTAATCGATATAATTATGTGCGTTAGTCTATGGGGACCATTTATTTATCTTATCACAGATAATGTATTGTTGCTCTATTAATATGTCTTTCTCGTTCCATCATTATCATCCGATAGAACTGACGGATGCTCAGTATCTATATGCATAAAGAATGGTCTCTTGCATAGATGTATCCTATGAACCGTTTTAATCTTGATTGATAGAGGTATATTGGTATATTAATATTTATTTAAAAAAAATATTTATTTATATATTTTTTTTATTAATATTTATGTATTTGTTATAAATTTATATTTAATTAACAAACTTGATGACGAATTTGTGAGTAAAACTGGATTTTTGTTATTTGTTTGTGAGTTGCCGACGAGAATTTAGAATTTTTTTTTTTAATTAGTAACAGAGATAATAAGTACATAGTTTGCCTGCCTTTTGCTTGACGCTGACAAAATCAAAATTGTTCCGAGTTTATTTATTCACGTAATCATTACAATGATACGGGACATAGTTGTGAATGATTAAAAGCATACGACCAACCTGACACTGCGTATCCGAGTTATTTTTAATTATGTCACATTTAGGTATAGCCGTATGGTACCGGCCGTAGGTTTTTTTTTTATTACAACTTAGAATGGCAAACAAGCTGACGGCTCACCTGATGGAAAGTGGTAACCGTCGCCTATAGACATGAGCAGTACCATGGACATAACAGAGTATACTGTTTCGCCCATGATACCTCCCATGCGTTGCCATTCCTGAGCACGCAGGTGTTATTCCTCTGTACCCTGTAAATTCCTCTAGTTTGTAGGTCCTCTAGTCTCCTTTACTAAGAATTCCTGGTATGTCTTTAATATTATAAGAGGATTATTTTATTGGCAAAGAAGTATATAGCCATTTTCTATTTAACAACCCTTCCTGTAGTTCAAAGGACATAGCCATAACTTTGTATATCTATACAGCACTGACTTCTAACGATACCTATCATCATATCGGCCTTTAACTGTCCACTGCTGAACGTAGGCTTATCCAATAAGAAGAGTTTTGCCAGTAGTTGCCACGTTTGGCAAACGGGTTGGAAACAGCAGTTAGGCTTTGGAGATGTTTAAGAAGGTCGCTGCTGCCCATCCCTCAACCTCAATGGTTGAGGGATGGGCAGCAGGGTTTCCTTAGCCGCCTCTTACGATACCTACAGGAAAGGAAGGGGTGGCCCATTTCTTACGGTTGGTACCTACCAGAGCGAGACTTTGTACAAAAGTCGATTGCTTGGGTACCTTTATCCCATTCGTGTTTCTACCATGAAGCAGTTGTGTTTGCATGGTTGTGTTTCGGTTTGAAGGGTGGGATATGGTACGCTGCTGTCTATCCCTCGACCATTAAGGGTACAGAGGAATAACACCTGAGTCCTCAGGAATGGCAACGCATGGGGGGTATTATGGGCGAAACAGTACACTCTGTTATGTCCATGGTACTGCTCATGTCTATAGGCGACGGTTACCACTTTCCATCAGGTGGGCCGTCAGCTTGTTTGCCATACTAAGTTGTATAAAAAAAAATCTAATGATGGAAACCGGTAGGTTTATATCGCTTATAAATAAACATTATTAATACTGCTTACTACCACTTACATAATAATAAACATAATGATCATGGGGTAATTTATGGGAAGCATTCGAGTAATAAATTTTATATGTCAAGGATAAATAGAATGCCGGACTTGGCTCTGTATGGGATGTCATTACTTTTTACGGTGAAAGATTTGGGAGAGGTCACAGCTCACAGCTCAGTATAGAGATCCCAAGGTCGAATTTCAGCTGAACCTCTGTAGTTTCATATCTATGACTAGCTTTAGCCTGCTACTTTATACGTGTGGATTTTAGAAGTAAGAAACTAATGAAATAGAATATTTCTAGTTTTTTTTTTTATATATATAATAACACAGGGGCAAACGAGCATACGGCTCACTTGATGGTAAGTGACTACCGCCGCCCATGATCACCCACAACACCAGCGGCATTGCAGGTGCGCTGCCGGCCTTTTAAAAAGGAATTTGCTCTTTTCTTGAAGGTTACGTTGTCATATTGGTTCGGAAATACTGCATTAAACTTATTATTTATCTTTGTTCATATAAATTGTGCGACTGCTTTGCACTTGTGCCTACCCTCTAAACTAAATTCTATATATATATATATATATATATCACTGGACAAACAGTCTTTACATTCTTCTCCGCAAAACGAGACGTGAATTTTAACACACATACTAATTAAGATACATGCACGCACGCACACACACATTTTTTTTTTGGGTGAAAATGGTATGGTATGCCCCGTCTGCACTAACGGAATACGCTGGCGGAGCACCAGTGAAGGGTGATAGATGAGAATGAAATCAGGCCAGTTAGCCCATCATGATGAATTCATCAGGAATTAACCATGATAGTTTCCAGGGGGAACCGCGAGGAGCTCGACCTGGTTGGGTATATTGCTAGCAATTGGATTCTCAGTCTCCATTACTAACAATCCCTTTCCCCCCGCATCACACACATTTACATACAAACACAAACAAGACCTAACCAAGTACAAACAGAACTAGCACCTTATACCTATCCCCAGTCTTTGTATGTGTATCCCAGTATATTCTGTGGTATCCATGCTTACAAGTGCTAGCGACCTTTTAAAACGGAATATGTTCTTTTCTTTCAAGCTATAATGTCCTATCGGTTCGGAAATACTATTGTATCGAAATAAAACAAACACCACTTTTTAAGTTAGACCTTCAGGAATGCAACTGTGAAATTAACATCTAATTTGGTACACTAGTTTTTGGGTGATGCAGGAACAAACAAATGGACAGACAAAATTTCTAAAAGTTATTGTTGTTGCATTTAAAAGGTCTTATTAAGACTACTTATATTATTTTTTCCTAAATATCTTCCATGTACAGATATCGTTTAGTTATTTATATAATTGTCATTCGCTTGAAACATTAGATATAAGACAATCGACTTTAAACAAAAGTCGATTGCTTGGGCACCTCTGTTCCATTCGTGTTTCAACCGTAAAGCAGTTGTGTTTGCATGGCTGTGTTTCGGTTTGAAGGGTGGGATATGGCGTGAATTTACGAGGTACAGAGGAATAACACCTGAGTCCTCAGGAATGGCAACGCATGGGGGGTATCATGGGCGAAACAGTATACTCTGTTATGTCCACGGTACTGCTCATGTCTATAGGCGACGGTTACCACTTTTCATCGGGTGGACCGTCAGCTTGTTTGCCATTCGACGTTGTATAAAAAAAATACTTTTCATTAAGCTACGATCAATAGGAGCAGAGCAGTGAAGGAAAATGTTGGGAAAACGGGAGAAATTACTCCATTTTTAAGCTTCCGTCGCGTGTGCAGCCTTAATGGCCACTTTTTAAAATGTAAAAATGTCCACCCGTGCGAAGCTGGGACGGGCCGCTAGTTAACAATAAAATTCTATTATAAGTAAGGATTCAGATTTCACATTTACAACATAGATTGTCTATAAATAGACACGGTGAATGATAATACCATATGCAATGCATGCAAACAGCTAGCGAAATAAATATTCCTATAATACAGCCTGAGTTATCAGCGGAATTTCAATCAACTTTCAAGTACGCAGCTGGGGTAATAGAGGTTTATGTAAGCACCGCTTGATTATTCCTTGAGACAGATTAGTTTAATGAATAGTCTGAGTGGAAGGGATTGTTAGTAATGGGGACGTTAGTCCCCGTTGCTATCAATATGTACTTTATATTATTCTCAATTTCGTGTATTATATAGTATATGTCATATATGTGTATGTATGTCATATATAGTATATGTCATATATTTGTTATTTATATATATTTATTCGTTTATATATGTAATTTTAGTATGTATGTATATCAATAATTAGTAGTACCGCATTCGAGTATTCTGACACTTCCCTATGGTTGACTGGGAGAGAATGCTTTTAGCATTAAGTCCGCCATGTACACATATTTGTACTAATGAATAAATAAATAAATATACCCTATCAGGTCGATCTCCTCGCGGTGCAGTGCTGATACTAAATAGCGCCGCCGGCCGCTATTACAATACGACATCACATTAGAAACCTCTAAATTTATCAGTGTTTCTCTACAATATTATGCATGTATTATACATGTAAACCTTTCTCTTGAATCACTCTATCTATTAAGAAAAATCGCTTCAAAATCCGTGGCGTAGTTTTAAAGATTTAAGTATACATAGGGACGGACAGACAGCGATAGAGACTTTGTTTTATACTATGTAGTGACCTGTTATTTATCTGAGAACATTAAAAACATTCTGCAGTTGTACGGTACAGCAATAAAAGTTGTGGAGCGCAATTAAGGTTTTAAGAACACATATACTTTACAGCGTTCATAACGTCATCATCATCATGTGAACCGTAACCTGTCCACTGTTAAACATACGTTTTCTCCATAAAGGGAATGTTGTCAATAGTTGCCAAATTTGGCAAGCGGGTTGGCAGCTGCGGTAAGGCGTTTTATGTTTTAAGAAGAACGCTGTCCCCTATCTCTCGACCATTAAGTATGGCTTACGACGCCCAAAGTAAAGAAATGGGGTGGCCCGTTCTATGCTGGGACCACGCGGGATACATAATATGCTATTGTATAATTTATTTGTTCATTTTACATACTTGGTTAAGGTAGGCAAATGCAGTGTAGTATGATCATCCACTAAATAGAGTGACGATCTCGAGTGCGTTGTAGGGAGTCATTGAATGCAGGTGGCTCAGGACCGTTCCTTATGGCAGTCTATGGGGGAGCCTATGACCACCAGTGGACATTTTATATATATATATATATTCTTTATTGCAGTAAAACATACAGTAACAACAATAAGTTAATAACAATGTTAGCAAAGGCGAACTTATCTCTAAAAGAGATTTCTTCCAGTCAACCTAACGCAGCATAGGAAGTAGTGAGTGGG